GCCTGCGCCCGGCCGCGGCCAGCCCGCGGCGCCGCGCCGCACAAAGAGCGCTGCCCAGGCCTGATTTGCCTTTAAAGGCGGTAGCCTGAAATTTAAGGTGTCCCCGAGTTCCGTCCTCCGCGCTTTGGCTGCCTTTTCGACTTGTGCTTCATGGAGTGTACCGGGCCCCTGCGCCCACGTCCTGGTGTCCACTCCATTGTTTATTTACTGGGCTTGGGGGTAGGTAGGTATCGGGCTGCGGGGTGCACGCTTTCCTGCCCCCCACTTGCCGTGCTCCTCAGGTCTCCCGCTGCGTGTTTAATTCTGCACACTCATTTAAAAAGATTTAAACGTGCCCGAGAAGGAAAGGGTTAAACGTTACTTTAAATATTCATGTTATTGTTTTAAAGTTGTAAACATGTGGCTTCTAGGTTGGAGTTGCTGTCTCTTATTGAGCAAATTTATCTCTCCCCGCCCCCGCCATTAATTACGTACTCATTTTCCCTAGCATACCCTTCCCATCTCCTGAATTTGTGAGGTTTTTTTTTTTTTTTAACGTCTGGTTGTGTGAGTCTCTGTGTTTGTATTCTTGTTCTACATGGGGTTTTAAAATTCCAGAGTGCCGCCTTGACAAAGGTGTTTTATATTTTTTTTCCCTTCAAAAATCTGTGAAAACATAAGTTAGTGTTTAAAAGGAAGTCCCCCAAATTCCCCTCCCTGTCTTTTTGGTTTTTTGGGGGTATGGATTGGAGGTAGGAAAATAACTGGACTCCTCGTGAGTTGGACCCCCGCCCCGCCATGGGGGTGAGGCAGTGTAGGAAAGGATTTGTTGTTATTCCAAACCTTTCTAAGTCAAAGTGCCATTCACACTTTTTCCTAACTCTAAAATGGCTTCAAAATTCCCATTTTGGTAACTTGCTTTGCTTGCCTGCTACCCTTTTTTGGGACAGGTTAGTTTCTTGGAATTGCATTTGAAGGCTTACTCCTGTGCAGTTGTAGACTTCACACTGAAATCATTGCTCATCCCAAGCATGTTTTTGTACCAACCGTTTGGATAACTGCCCAGTCTCCAGCTCTGTGAGATTTATTTTAAATGAGCAATGTGCTTCACAGGGGATCCAAAAACTCTCTAAATGGGAATTATGTTCTTAGTCATAACTTTTATAGGGAAAACTGGCCCTAAAGCTTGGCGTGGCTAATTCTATGCCCAATGAAGTTATCACCATGGAGATTTGTAAACCTTGGGAGCACATGTAGTTTTTGCTTTTGCCTCGAAGACTTCGGAAATTGAGAGTGGCACCAAGTACCATAAATGCTAGTGATTGAGTGTGGTTTAATTTATTGTTTCAGTTCTGCAGTGAAATGGTAATGAGCAATAGCATATTTTGTCAGTGAGGTGTGTGTACTAGTTTGTTGGGCAGGATATTTGCTTTCTAGGAAATAGCACTGCATTAAAACATCAGAGGAACTTTCCAAGTGCTCACTTGAAGAGAATGAACCGTGCTGTGTTTAACAGCCATTCTAGTTCTCAAGTTGTGCTCTTCAGTGAGGCCTCCTATTAATTTTGGATTGTGTTGTATATTTCTGGCTCATAGTAAAAACTTTTTTTTTTTCTTCTAAAATTAGATTTAGCACCATGAAGAATTTTATCAAATGCATTTGCATCAGTGTCTTTTTCTGCAAAATCTCTATTAGGCATTTTGTTTTTCTATGTGAGATAGCAAAAGGTTTTCCAGAAAAGTTGCCCTAGCTAGGAACTCTTAATTTAGAAGCCACAGTGCATCCAAGTTAACAGATGAAGTGACGAGAAGTGCTGTTCTCATAATGCTGTGTGCTACAAGAACCTTTGGGACTTATTGTTCAAGATGGCACTGTGTCAAGGAAGCCCGCTGGCCCGCAGTTCTTTCTGCAGAGGCAGTCTTCCTGCTGCCCCACATAGCTGTAATTTTAACAACACTCCAGACATCAGATCGTCTTCCAGAGGATGTCTGTGATGGTATAGTCACTTTTTAAAATGATTTCTTCTGGCTTATGCATTGCTGTGGTGAACAAAGTATTGTGGCCCCAAGTCACTGTTTCCCTGTGGTCTTGGTGATTTCCACTGTTGTCACATTTGCTGTCTTCACTTAATTTTGGGCAGGTATCAGAATTCTTTTTCATGATGTCTTTCTGCTTTGGTGATGCCTAGGTGGGTCTGTAAAGAAACCAGCAGACTAGGAGAGGGAGGGGAAGAAGCTAACCTGTGAGGTGTGTGTGCCCAAGAACCATGTCTGTACGGGAGTCCTTCAACCCAGAAAGTTACGAACTGGACAAGAGTTTCCGGCTAACCAAATTCACTGAACTGAAGGGCACAGGCTGCAAAGTGCCCCAAGATGTCTTACAGAAATTGCTGGAATCCTTACAAGAGAACCACTTCCAAGAAGATGAGCAGTTTCTGGGAGCAGTTATGCCAAGGCTGGGCATTGGAATGGATACCTGTGTCATTCCTTTGAGGCATGGTGGTCTTTCTTTGGTTCAGACCACAGATTACATTTACCCTATTGTAGATGACCCTTACATGATGGGCAGGATAGCATGTGCCAATGTCCTCAGTGACCTCTACGCAATGGGAGTCACAGAATGTGACAACATGCTGATGCTCCTTGGAATTAGCAATA